TGCACGAATGGAGTAAGAAATAATTTAATTACCTTAATATTATTGTAACTTTAATTGAATTTTTGAATGAAATATTTACAATTTAAGAAAAATACTATTTAAGACACTTATTATTTCTAAAAATTATGATGGTATCCACTTATTAAATTTTTTTTCTTTTTAGTACTGCTTAGGTGGACAATGTGTCTCCAATGAGGAAAGTAGTTCTACGCTTGATCATAGTACATCGTCTCCAAACTATAATCCAAAAGATACCTTAGTACCGAACGATGTACCTGTTTTGTCCTCGGAAGTTCATTTTCAATTGGACTATAAAGAAAGCATAAATGCTAAAACATTAAGTGGGATAGAGGTTAGTATTTTACTGAATATTATCTTTTATTTAGTTATAACATTTTTTCTTATAATAATTACGTATTTGAATTTTTAAATTTTAAATTAACCTTATTTTTAAGCCCCGTACCATGACAGTATTCGGCAGTGTTAAAAAAAATGTTGTAAATTTTTATAATTACTGACAATTTGTACTCTGCCGATATTTTCTATTCAAAAAGTTAATTTCTTATATATGTATATGAAGTATTTATAAGGATCTATAATATATCAGTTACGTTACTAATGACTTGTGTTAAGCATTTGAAAATGTGCAATATTTTTCAAAAAAAAATTTTGTTGCAGAATTCACTTTGGAAAAATATGAAGGCGTCTCTGTCAATGGTTATGTCCACTATGTTTAACGGTGTCTCTCAAATGCAAGAGTTTTCCAAGAAGGGAAAAACTAAATTATTCGCTGCTTGTAATTAATATTAAATAAGAAATATATTTTTGCGTTCTTATGTAAATATTCTTTAAGTATTAATCAAAATTATGTAATTGTTGTGATGCAAAATATAATACATAATAAAATATTAATTAATTTTATCTAGTAGTCTCAAACAAGTACTTCCTTTAGTGATAGTCCTAAAAAATATTTTTATTATAACAGTAGCTATAATTGACGAATGATATATTACACCACGATTAGTATATAAAAAGTGTAATATTGTAAAAAATAAAATATATATTGACTATAATAAAGAACTTCGTGTAAAATTGTAAATTTTATCTATTTTTGCATTCAAAATAATTTATATTTAATTTATAAAATATTGATATGGAAAAGTTTAAAAGTTTATTCGATTAACAAGAAAATCATTAATCAACTATAAATACAGGTAAAAATTAATGGAGCTAATAAAAAGTTTGTTCTGCAATCTGTAAAAGGCTTTTTTGCCGGTAAAGATACAAAAGTTCGGATAGCTGAAAAAGATGAAAATAAAATTAAGTATACTCTACAAAGAGGAGTGAGTAAAATGTTTATTTTTACAGTTGTATGCTAATAATTTTTTTAATCTATACATAAAAGTAGAACTAAAATGTAAGATGTTTATCGCTTTTTAATTGAAAGGTAAATATTTACCTTTTTGAATTCTGGCTCCGGTAATGAACAAATATTACTTAATGCAGGTTATGGAGAAAGTGAACGCCTCTTTTTATCAGGATGAAAAATCAGTCTATAGTATCCCGTACAGTAAATGAAAAAGGAAATTCAGAATTCGTAAGCCGTTGTCAATAAGAATTTCTATGTTCATAGTGCTTGACGTATTTTTATTTATTTATATTCTTCATTAATAATTTCATTTTTATTTATTTTAAATTCTTTGTACAAATCGGACAATATTTTTTTCAACTATAAAGAAAATTATAATATTTAAAAATATTAAATTTATTAAGCTTTATTAAATTATTATTATTAAATATAATAAATTGTGTAAGCTTTATTATAAAACATTGTTGGGATTGTCTTATGTCGGGTAATTACTCTTGTAATATTTAAAAAATTCGATAAATAAAAGATTAGTAGAGTGGAATTATATTATGTTTTTACAATTAAAGGATGAAATTGTACCGAATAAGCAATTTTTAGCTTATAACACATTACTAGGGGAGAGTCTCCAGTTGTGAGACGGGTTTTATTTTTGACCCGTTAATTGTAAACGGGTAAACGAAATTGTAAATAAAATACACCGTTCGAAAGGTATCAGAAATACGCAACTTTTATTAAAAGAAAGTATAGTGTTTCGATTAACTCAAAAAATTTTACGATACATTTTCCGAGCACATCGCTTTTTTCAAAAAAAAATGTTTCCAGTTGTGAGACACTCATTAAAAATTGCTAAAATGTAATAAGTTTGACGTAAAACGTTATGTTTAGTAGAAATAATTAAATATATATATATATATATATATTATTATATACTAAATAATAATATTTATTCGCCAAAATATGACTATCAAATAAACACAATTAAATAGCTTCAACAAGAGCATTAAAATTGCTTTTTTTTGAATCAATTGACTTTTTTCCACTTGACATGCCCAAAAATACTAGAAAAAAATCAAAACAACATTTAAATAGTATGCCTGCAAAGTCGTATTTTTTATGCTGCCCAGATGGGTGTTAACACCGTCTCACAAATGGTGATATGCTGTGTCTCACACCCAGAAATTGGCGCTATTTTGAAAAAGGAAAATTAAATTATTTTCAACCGTAGATTGGAACAATGCAATATTGCATCACAAAATATAAGGAAAACACTAAAAGAAAATGCATTACATTTACCTTTTCCAATTAATTAACTTGGAAAAAAAGTACTTTGCATTTATTGAAAAAACGCTTTTTAGTCGATTATCACACACAGTGTTGGTATTTAACAAAAACAGTTTATATATCCGCTTCGGCGTACACGAAAAAGTTGGCTCATATAAAAAGAAATGTTTTTATATAAACCAATCGGCTTTTTAATATTGCATGTTAAAAAAAATTGACTTACATTTTCTGATTCATCATGGGCGGTGGTTTGTGGCCTTTATCCGATCAACGAACTTAAAGTTTTTAAAGCGTTGTCATTAGTGTGTTGTATATTCGGAAACACACTATTTTTTTATTTGCACCTTTAACGAGAAAATCAAATTATAGAACTTGTTTTTAAAAAAATGTTGAAACTTTAAAAATAATAATAAATATAAATGGAAAATTCAATATGAAAACTTTAATCAAGATGTAAAAAAAATTCGAAACATTCCCGGATCTAATTTTCGAAAACCGCCGCGACCCGAATAGGATTGCTAAAAATTAAAAATGTATTCAAAGGGAGAAATGTGTAAGAAAAATCCTAATAAACATTTGATCGCGGTACTAGAAAAAAGAAGAGTTGAATACTCCCGGATGCTAAGCACAGCCGACACGACACTACCGAAGGCAATCACTATGTGGAAGCTCCGCACCTGAAATCAGAAAAACAAATATTTATTATCAAGAAATTGAGATAAATATATAACATTTATTGTTAAAATAATTTAAATAGACAAATGTTGTACATTATTCTAACCCAATGTTGTTCTATTTGGGTTAAGAGTGAGATGACAAATTATATATTTCTAACCCAGTTATGGCTTTTTTTAGTTATCCATTTATGGTCCAAAATGGACTACCGAGAAATGTAATAAATAAATAAAGTAATGCCTAAGAATTATTATTAAAGTAATTTTTCTTTTCAGTCAAGAGAGAGCTTTCTGTTTTCGTAATAATCCAGCTCGTAAAAGAAACGATAAACAAATATTAAGAATATTGTCTGGTAAACATATGACATTAGATGAGCAATGCCAAGAAAGAGGATACGCAAAAGCGTATGACGTAAGTTTTCACCAAAAATTAATTTCTTTAATTAAATGCAAAACTAATTAAAGTAGATAAATTAATGTACTGTTTTAAAAATCTTATGTTTGAGAAATCTTCAAAAGCATAGTTACACTTTTGCTTTGTACTTTTTTTACTTTATAATTTATTTACATTTAGGTAAATCCAGATATTTGCTCAAATATAACATGTTTGGTGGATATTAAGAAATATCCTAGAGAAATAACAACAGTTTCTGTAGCAGCACTCGAAGGAACTCCATGTGACATTGAAAGGATAAGAACTTTCTAAATGACAATACAATTTTTATCAATCACAATGCCTAATGTTATAGATTTTAATATTAGTTAAAAATTTTAGTTCTGTATAAGAGGAGAGTGTGTTAAGTTGACATTTGAAGAAAGACGGAAGAATGTTGATGCTAGGATTATATTTCCAACAAATGAATTACTGTCCCGCTTCAAAAAAAGTGCTAGAGAGCAATGCAAGGAAGAAGGAGTGGAAAAGATTACCAATGTTTGTTGAGATAATTTATTATAAAAAGAATAGTCATACAAATGTAATTTATAATTTTTTATTTTTCTTTTATTTTCAGCCTTCTATTCATATTTGCACCTTGTTTTGTGAACATTTAAATCATGAAGGAGAAATAAGGTTTAAAAGTTTTATGGCACTGGATGGAACCTTGTGTAACAATTATGAAGTGAAAAATAATTATATACTTGTACATGCCTCTTAATATTTAAGATTCATGAAGACATTTTTTTTGTTTTATAGTATTGTTTAGACGGAGAATATGTTAAAGATTCAAAAGGTTTGGTTTTCAAGAACCCAAAATCGGAAGAAAGAAAAAATCAAAGTTCCAATATTACAAGTGATAATAATTCACATCTTGCTTGGGAAAAACTGTTGTCAGATTTGAATGATACTTCTGATATCAGCACAAGTTTAACTGACAGTAGTACAATTTCTACTTTGCTTGCTGCATCTTCTAATATCACAACTATTCCCTCAGTTGAAGTAACAATTCATGAGTCGATAAACAGTTTCGATAGTACAACAGCACGAAATAACGTCACAAATTTAAATGATCTTTCAACTTCTACTGGATATGCTGAAGAAATAACTGATCCCTCAGTCGAAACAAGTTCTCACGATTCCATTCCTAATTTTAATAGGACCCTTTCAACTGACACTAAAACAACGCCTTATAATGATACCATTTCTGTAATATCTACACCTCATGATGCTATTGGTCCTAAAAATAATGTCGATTTCATGCCTGGTAAATTGAAGTCTGCAGATGAACAGTGTATAGAAGCTGGAATGAAGGGATTTTTTGCTGTTAGCATACATATATTTATTTTCATTGTAAATTTTTTGGTAAATTTCTTTATTGTAGTCTAAATTTTTACTGTATTTTAGCAAATTGCAGAAGAATGTATAATAGCTTGTAATAATGAAAGCGACAGTATTTTCAATGAAGACAACGAACCTTCATTAGATTATGAAGTAAAAAATATTTTAACAGACGTGAGCTTCGCAGAAATAACCGCTCAAGATGGATATGAGTGCATAGATGGAGTAAGGAATACGTTTATTACCCAAAAACTGTTGCAATTTTAATTATATTTTCGTATGAAACGTTTACTAGCATTATTTAAAATTATGTTTTGAGGTATTATTAGCTCCTAAAAATTGTAACCACATCCACATATCCATTTTAAAGTACAGTATATTTAATTTTCTTTTTTTAATTCTTTAGTACTGTCTTGGTGGACAGTGTATCCCTAATCACGATACTAACACTACGCTTAGTAATAGTAGATTTTCTTCAAATAATTCCAATCGACAGGAATTGTTGGTGCCAAAGGATGTACCGCTTTTGTTCCTTGAAGCTTTATTTCAATTGGCAGACGAAGAATGCAAGAATGCTAGAACTTCAGGGGCTAGCAAAGTTAGTAGTTGACTAAATTTTATTTTGTATTTATTTATAACATATTATTTAAAAAATTGATTTTTTAATAAATTTTATTCTGTAGGTCTCTCCCACAGATTGTGTTTTACATTGCATGGTACCGTCGATAAATTCAACTGCTTATCAAATTTTACCAATTGAAGCTCCAAATGGTTTTCCTTGTAGTAATAATGGAGTAAGTTTTCTTTCTATATTTAATCTGATTACATTATTTATTTTAATTTATTTATAATTATTATTCAATTTATCAATCTGAATTGTTTTGCAGATTTGTCTCAATAGGATTTTTATGAAAGTAATCTAATAGGTTTGTCAAAATTATTTCTAAATATTTATATTTAGATATGAAGAATTCTACGCAAAAGTTGTTTTATGTATTTTCCATAACTACTCTCTTTAATGACAGTAGTTAAAAATATATCTTTTCTAAAAGAAGTTTTTTATCTGACGAATATTACGTTTCGCCACGATTAGTATATAAAAAGTTTAATATTGTAGAGAATAAAATAGTTAATAACAAATTCTAAACTTGGTGTACTTCTTTGTAAAAAATATTTTACAATCAATGTATGAAATATTGATATTGAAAAAAATAAAAGAATTATAAATACCAACAATTGCATAAATTTTAGTTTATTTCAATTTTTAGTTTTCGAAAGTCGTGAGCATTTTATTGATAACATATAAATTGTTGTCATCGTTATCATTCATCGTTTATTGAGTGTATTTCTTTATTTCATTTTTCTGTTTGCGCTAAAATTTTTAAATAATTGTAGAAAAATACAAAAATTAAGAAATGATTTATTTCTGCATATTACTTTACGCATTTTTTGCACCTCTGTCAAACACTTTAGAGGTAAACTTTGTTATTATTGTTATTGGTATTATTATCATTATTGGTTATTTGATATTATTGTTATTTTATCTAAAATAACAATTTTCTTGAAGGCTTAGAAAATATTTTAAAAATTATTAAGAACTAACACGTCATTGATCATAATTTTCAGGAACAATTTGACTTTATATCCCCTTATTTTAAAATTGAGAATGAACAGTGCAAAAAGGCAGGAAATTTGACATTTTTTTCAGTTAGTATTCAAATATTTTTAACTGAATTTTTGATATACAATTGAATTTTACAAATGCTCTTTTGATTTCTAATATTGTTTTGTATTCATTTTAGCTTACTGATAAGGAATGTATTTTCATCTGCAAACTTGAAAATAAGATATTAAGTGACGACGATGATTATGATTACTATCATGACATTCAAGTAGTGGCTGAAGATGGATATCAGTGCAAGAATAATGGAGTATAATTTTAATTATTTCTACATATTATATATGTTAGCGCTATAATATAAAAAATCATGCTTATACTGCTTTTGTTAATTTGAAGTAAGTAATCTATACAATTAAATTAATTCTAATTCAATGTTTTCAAATTTTTAGTACTGTCAAGATGGAGAATGTGTCAATCAGACAATTTTTCATGGCATAACCAAATTTGATAATTTGACGACCACTACAGCTGTGGTGTAAATATGTCATTAAACTTTTAAGTAAATTAATAAATGTAATTTAAAAAAACTGAAAGAAAAGTGTCTGATTTTTTGCTAACACAGCTTTTTACAGATTAAAAAAATTAAACGATTAAAAAACCATAAAAATAAAAACTAATAAGAAAGTTTATTAATTCTCTAATAAGTAAAAAGTTAAAATTAATTTACTACTCTTTGAGCACTGTAACGTGGGATGTCTTTAGAATGTCACCAAATAAACATTAAATAAAACATTGAAATTATAAAAACTTATTTATCTAATATACCAAATGAGTTTAGATTGCTTTTTATATGATTACCAGAAAAAAATAGAACAAAACCTTGAAATTATAGACAATTATTTATTTAATATACATAGTGAGTTTGATTTCTTTATTTTAAGTGTTCTTGAAAATATTCAATATTAAAATTTCTATTCTATTAAAATAAGGTGTTGCAGACTCAAGTGGTAAATAATTTTATTTAAATATATTCATACGTAAAAATAATATTAATAAAAGTAGTCTACTTAAGATGAGGTCAAAAGAGTTGCTGTGTTCATTTAAAATGATGCAATATCAATCGAATTTATTACAAATCATTTAATGATTCGTGTTATTTAACTACAAGTAAGAATTAGCATTAGATTAGACAAATGATAAACATAAGGAGTTCATATATATATATATATATATATATATATATATATATATATATATTGCAGCCTTAATATACTAGCGTTCAAATTTGAGAAATTTAGGGACAAGTCTTCTTTCAGCTGAAGGGTAGGTTTTACAAAATTAAATTTCTTTTTACTTCGTTATAAAATAAATTATTTAGTAAGTGCTACTTCCACAATAAGCAAAATCCTTAATTTATTTTCTAATTTTCTCAATGAATTCCTAAACAATTACAGCAACTAAAAATGAAATACATCTGTATATTGCTGTGCACTCTCTTTGTGCAACTTTCATATTCAATAGAGGTAAATTTTTCTCTTTAAAATTACATTTAACAATTTTTTCATTCAGAATAAAATGTAAATTATTTGTTCAGATCCATCAACACTGGATTCATAATGATATTCAGGAACAGCTCAAAACATCTGATTATAAATTGATTTCGGTTGAACATTTAATTAAAAAAAGAAGTATTAATGAATTGTCAATCAAGGTAAAACTTAATGGCAAAGACAAAGAATTTGTTTTGCAATCCGCAAAAGGCTATTTTGCTGGTAAAGATACAAGAGTTTGGGAAGCTGAAAAAATTGGAGATAACTTTAAGTACACACTAAAAGAAGGGGTAAGTATATAACTATTTCTGCCAGTTTTGAATTTGTCTAGATATAGTAATTAACAATAAATATTTTTTTGTAGATTATGGAAAAAGTAAATATAACATTCTACCAGGATGAAAAAACAAAGTCTGTAGTATCACATACAGTGAATAAAAGAGGAATTTCTGAATTTGTAAGTGCTCCTTTATACTTTTTCAAAGAAAACACAATTTTTTTGTCTATTAAATAATAATTAAATATAAATTTTTCTTTTAGAATGGTATTATTAATTCTAACGTAATAATACACCCAATTAGTAATCTTATACGTAGACGCCGTGACGCTAAACCATATTCCGAGTATAAGAACGACATTGACAACTATCACGTAATTTTTAACCGAGACTTTGACTCTTTCTTTGATAATTATATTAATAAACAAAAGTTCAATGACTTTGCTCATATCTTTAATAATTATTATGATAATAAGAAAGAGTCCAATAAGATACCAGAAAACTTACATTCAGAAGCACCGGACATAGTGTATCCAGAAATTTTAGTATTTGTAGATACGACACTTTATGAGTAAGTTCCAATTTTTTAAATGCAATATTCAAATTTAATTTAATATTTCACTGTAAATCAATTTTAATTGACATCTTTATTTTCAGACGTTTCCAAATGGACATTGAAAAAACTGTTGCTTATATTTTAACTCTTTTTAATGGAGCTGATCTAAATTATAGAGACATGAAAAAACCTTTAGTTCGTTTGAACATTGCTGGAATTGTTCTGTGTCGGGTAATTAACTTTTTTAATACTAAAATAATTAAAAATATAAATTAACTTATTACGAGTAGCTTAATTATGTTAAAAATTTACAATTTTAAAGTCATGAGCATCTGAAGATTTATAATATTCTGTGGACATCATACAGATTTCCAAATAGTAATAAAAGTTTGAATAATCGTAGGACATCCGTTGAATATATTTAAATATCCATTGTTGAAAGAGAAAGATTATTTTATTACACTCTTCTAAATTACGCATTTTTCACATTTTAAGAATCAAACTGTACCAAACGAACCGTTTAATATTAACAATGATGCTTCTATACTGTTCTCAAAATTTATGTATAATGAAAATGAATTCAAATTGGGAAAAGATTACGACGTTGCTGTTTTACTGGGTTCAAATCTAAAGTTCTTTTATGGAATTTCAGGTTTGATATTTTCTCAAATATAATAGTTTGTGTACATTATAGTTACTTAAAAGTTACTAATAGCAAAAAATTTTCTTAGGTACGGCAACAGAAGGAGGAGCATGTTCTAAAGATACAAATGAGAAAATAATATCATCTACATTGATTATGTTGGATAATACACAATTTTCTGGAGTAATTGGTGCAACACATGAATTAGCTCATTTGTAAGTGTGTTCTTTAAGACTTATACCTAGTCAAGAAAGATCTATATAATGATTATATACAATAACTCTATAAAGCATTCTATAGAATATTCTATTTAGATTATATTCTATACTTTATATTCTAAAGAGTATTTTATAGAATATTTTGTAGAATTTATCTGTAATTAATGGCTGCACGTATAGAGCCATTAATAACCAACATTAAAATTTTATTAGATTTGGAACCCCTCATGATGGTGACAGAGCGGATCAAAATTTCCTTGGAGAAGGAGCAGAAGCATGTCCTGAAGACGAAGGTTATATGATGAGCACAGTAACTGGTGGAAAATACCAATTTCACTTTTCTTCATGCTCGAAAAAAATTATGTCTCACTTTTTCAGGTGAGAATCAATTGACAGAAACAGTCTGTTCAATAAAAAATTACAAATAAAAATAATTTTAAATTCATGAAATGTATTGTAAAATTTCACTACAATTTTCAATAAAATTTATTTCAGTCAAAAGAGTGCTAAATGTCTTCTTAACAATCCAGCTGATCACAGGTATGATGAACAAATGTTAAGAATATTGCCTGGTAAATTATCGTCAATAGATTAACAATGTCAAGCAAAGGGATTTCTTAAAGCAGCAATAGTAAGCTAAAACAAATAGGACTTTTTAATACTTTAGTTGAAAACAAAGACATTCTGAATACGTCTTTAGAAAATCTATGTACATGAATTAATCATTATATTAAGATTATTTTTGTAACATAATAGTTTAGTTACTTCTTCAAATTAAATTCGTTGTTTTAAATACATAAAAATTTCAGGTAACTCCAAATATTTGCTCTGGAATAAAATGTATCGATAATCACAACTCTTCATATACAATTAATGTATACGCAATTGAAGGAACTCCTTGTGACTGGAATAAAGTAAATAAATTTATATACAATTTATTTTTTTCAGTAATTATAACATCTCAGGAAATATTTTTAAATAAACCATTTATATATTTCAGTTTTGCTTGAGAGGTGAATGTGTAGAAGTACCTTTTGATGAAACTTATAAGAATTTGGGTCTAAACATATATTTTCCACCATATCTTCAACTTCCTGGAACCAATAAGTCTGCTGAAAAACAATGCAAAGAAGCAGGAATTACATATTATAACGAAGTAAGTTGAAATAATTTATTAAATTATTTATCTAAAGGTGTAATTATAATCATAAATTAATGTTTTAGGCTTATTTTGAAGGTTGTGATTGCCTTTGCCGATCTATTTATTCACTGCGCATTTTAACAACCACAATTCCAGCACAGAACGGAACATTGTGTAATAATACTGGGGTAAATATAATATTTTTAAAAATATTTATAATGTGTGCTTAACAATTTATAAACAGATGCATGCTAATGTAAATGTAAACTTTAAATTAAGATTTACGTAAATTACTTGGTTACTTTGAAACTCATTAAAAACGTCTGACGAAGAACCTGATACTAAATTAAAATTGCAGAAAAATAATATTCTCAATGTAAATTTCCATTTGGGTTATTTCAATTTTATAGTACTTTGGAGACAGAAAATGTGTGATTCAATCTTTTATTTAACTTCATCTGGGAATAAACCAACTACACTAACAAATAATAATAATACTTCTGATAATACTTCATTCATAACCTTTATTTATTAGTAAAGATTATAGCTACATAAAGTATTGTTTAACTTTTATTTCTAAATTTTTAGTTGTGCTTTGATGGAAAATGTGTGGACAATTCTAATGTAACAGATAACAAAAACTCATTTAACACGACTTTTAGAAATGTTACGAATTCTAATAATGCACCTCCTTCCTTTGAGAATGTGACGCCTTCCATTGATGATACAACCAATTCTGATAGTATCACAAGTTCCACTGACGATACCGGTACAATTTTGCAATCCTTTGATGATACAACAAACTCTGATAGTGTTACAACTTCAACTGATAATACTAGTATGATTTTAACTACGACAGTTTCTTCCTTAGATAATACAACTATTCCTTTAGAGCTAACAACACCTCGTGATTTAATTACAAATGTTGATAGTTCTGATAACAAGACAATTTCTAATGACATTGATGACTTTGAAGAATCAACAACTCCTGAAAGTATTCTAGATTTTAATGATATAACTACACCACAAAGTGGTACAACTTTTGACACTTCAGATCCTATGGGACAGGTATTACAAATTATGAATGAACAGTGCGAGCGGGCGGAAGAAGGTTACTTTTTCACGGTTAGTATTCAAATGTCTAATTCACTATCGTATACATATGGTATTTGTGTTAAAGTTTAAATAATTATATTCTTTCAGCTTCTTCCAAATAAATGTTTCGTAGCATGCACTCTTGACAAGTACTTGGCATACCACCCCGATAAAGATAATGATGAAACCTATCAAGCAATACGTAATGATTATTTATTTTACCAGGACTATAAAGAAGTTGTCGTTCAAGATGGATTTAAATGCAAAGATAATGGAGTAAGATATGTTTTACAATCAAGATTTAAAAATTCTTAATCTTTAATTTAATTGCATTTGTAATTCACTACAATTTTTATCTTGTTTATTGTTTTAGTACTGTCAAGGCGGACAATGTGTCGAACAGACTACTACTGACAGCAATACAAGTTCTACTGATTCTACTGACTCAGTGAAAGAATCTACAACTCCTAAAAGCGTAGAAATTTCTATTGATTATATTTCCCATTCCACTGACGGAGTCACAAGTTCTTTAGAGCTAACAACAAATCGAAATTTAATTACAAATGTTGATAGTTCTGATAACAAGACCATTTCTAATGATTTTGATGACTATGAAAAATCAACAACTCCTGAACGCATTTCAGATTTTAATTATGTAACTACTCCTCAAAGTGTTACATCCATCGATATTTTAGATCCTGTGGACAAGGAATTACAAATTATGAATGAACAGTGCGAGCGAGCGGAAGAAGGTTACTTTTTCACGGTTAGTATACAAATGTCTAATTCACTTTCGTATACATATGGTATTTTTCTTAAAATTTAAATATTGATTTACTTTCAGTTTCTTCCAAATAAATGTTTTATAGCGTGCACTCTTGACAAGTACTTGGCATACCACCCCGATAAAGATAATGATGACACCTATCAAGCAATTCGTAATAATTATGTATTTTACCAGGACTATAAAGAAGTTGTCGTTCAAGATGGATTTAAATGCAAAGATAATGGAGTAAGAAATGTTTTACCTTTATGAATTAAAATTTTTAAAACGTTAATTTAATTTTAATTGCATTTGTAAGTCTTTAAAATTTTCGTCTTGTTTATTGTTTTAGTATTGTCGCAGTGGGCAGTGTGTTGAAATGACAGATTATGGTACCATAGATAAAATGACACTTTCTTAATTAAAATCTGATGATTTTAAAAGGAGAAATTAATTCGATACAAAAATATTAGAGTATCGAAAAAAGTTCTGAATAAGATGCTTTTATAATTATTATTTATTACTATTTATATTTACTAAATATTTAATAATTTATCTACTGTAAAATATATTGCAAAATTAAATAAATTTGTCATATTCATTTTTAAATAAAACTTCGTTTTCCCATATTTTAATTAATGATAAGATTAATCGCTTTCTAATCTTATAATATTGTCAAATAAACAATGGGAAATGTTATAAACGTATTTTATAGTAGTGACGAAATACAGCCTATTATATCTCATGCAGAAAAGAAAAATAGGACTTTTTGATAATTGATTCTTACTGATTAAACAATTATTTAAAAACCTTAAAAAATAAAACTAAGGAAAACGTCCAGATAAAAATTAAATAAGTCCCTGAAATTATAAAAAAAATTTATTTAATATACCAAGTGAGTTATTTTTTTAATTCGTTTATTTTTTGATCACTAGAAAAAAATGGAATAAAACCTTGAAATTATAGAAAATTTATTAACACTAAACATTAAAATAACTTACAGTTACAAATGTTAATAATAACTGTTTTGAAAGCTAAAGTAAATTATACCCAAGTAAAAAAATTATTTATTTTTTTAAATTATATAAAAAGGAAAATTTCTATTCTATTAAAATAAGGTGTTAAAGCAGGAAGTGAGAAATAATTTTATTTAAAAATATTCATGCGTAAAACTAATAGTAATAAAATTAGTTTATTTAAGCTTACGTCAAAAGAGTAGCTGCGTTTATTTAAAAAATTTAACTACGCACGTACGAATTAGAATTAGATTAGAAAAAATGATAAACATAAAAAAATTCATGTATATATATTGCAACCTTAATATACTAGAGTTCAAGTTTGAGAAATTTAGGGACAAATCTTCATTCTGCTTGAGGGTAAATTTTACCAAATTCAAAATTTTTTTTACTTTGTTACAAAATAAATTATTTAATAAATGAAACTTCCATAATAAGAAAAATCTGTGATTTATTTTCTAATTTTCTCAAAGAACTTTTAAACAATTACAGCAACTAAAAATGAAGTACGTTTGTATGTTGCTGTACACTCTCTTTGCGCCACTCTCATATTCAATAGAGGTAATTTTTTCTCTTTAACAGCATGTGATTGTTAGGTTCTCAATGGTCACGGTCACTTCTAATCAATTTCTTGTCATTACCGATTTCAAAGTGTTATATTATAACTTATTTTTAAGTTATTAAAACTTTTGCACATCACTGCTCTTCTTTATTATATTTTAGATTTTCTTACAAAATTTTAACTCAATTTATTGAATATTTAAAGAGAAAAGTGGACGAAACAATTAACATTGAATTTCCAACAGTCACATGCTGTTAAAATTACATTTAATAATTTTTTCATTGAGACTAAAATATAAATTATTTGTACAGACACACGAAAGCTGGATTCATAATGATATTCAGGAACAGCTTCAAACATCTGAATCAGCCTTGGATGATGTTGAGAATAAATTTGAGCATGAACATTGCAAAGCAGTTGGACACATAGGATTTGATGCAGTCAGTATTCGATAATTCCTATATTTCAATTGTTTGTTGTACACATATTAATTTAAATGTCCATACATTTTAATTGTAATTATACACTAAATTTAAATCAGCGATAAGTATACCTCTATTTTCAATTAGTTCATATGTCAGATAAGAGATTGGTGAAATTAGACTGATTTGACACTGATTTAGCAGCATATATAAGCTGATGGAAACCAGTGGTATTTTGCTGATTCAGATTTAGAGAATAGTTCAAATATAAAATTTATAATTAACAATTCTAAAACAAATGAAGTACAAACCTCAATCATATTTTTCTCATTATAGTATACTTCTAACGATTGTGTATTCTCCTGCAACAGTCGACCTGTCGGGAAATCTATTACATTTGATGAATTTTTAGGAAAATGGGTAACTTATGTAAAAGTATTTGCACCAGACGGATATGACTGTAGAAACGATGGAGTATGTGACAATTATGTTCCTTTCACGATAACGATACTATTTATAATAATATTCAAATCTTCATTATCTACATTTTTGTCAGAAATACATTAATTGATTTTTTATATTCTTCTAGTATTGTCTGGGTGGACAATGTACAGAAAAGACAATCACTATTGTCAATACAAGTTCTACTGATTTTACTGACTCATGGAAAGAATCTACATCTCCTAAACGCGACAAAAAATCTAGTGATTTTACTTCTCCTTCCTCTGATGGCGTTATAAGTTCTTTAGATTCAAAAACAACTCGTGATTTAATAACGAATGATGATAGTTCTTATAACAACACAATTTCTAATGACATTGATTACTTTAAAGGTTCAACAACTCCTGAAATTATTTCACACTTTAATAACATAACTACACCACCAAGTGGTACTACCTTTGACGCTTCTGAACCTGTGGGACTGGAATTACAAATTATGAATGAACATTGCGAGCGAGCGAAAGAAGGTTACTTTTTCGCGGTTAGTATACGAATGTTTAATTCACTTTGCTACATATAAAATATTTTTCCAAAAGCTTAATTAATAATATTCTTTCAGCTTCTTCCAAATAAGTGTTTCATAGCGTGCACTCTTGACAAGTACTTGGCATACCATCCTGATAAAGATAATGATGACACTTATCAAACAGTTCGCGAAATTACTATGTTCCTCGAAAATTATAAAGAAGTTTTCATTAATGATGGACAGTGTGTCAAACGGACTACTGCTGATAGCAATACAATTTCTACAGATGTTACTGACTCGGTGAAAGAATCTACAACTCCTAAAAGCGTCGCAAGTTTGGGTGAGCATATTTCCCTTTCCACTGATGGCATCACAAGTTCTTTAGATTCAACAACGCCTTGTTATTTAATTACGAATGATGATAGTTCTGATAACAAGACAATTTCTAATGATATTGATGATTCTAAAGGATCAACAACTCCTAAAAGTATTTTAAATTTTAATAATGCAACTACTACTGATAGCAATACAATTTCTACTAATGTTACTGACTTTGAGAAAGAATCTACAACTCCTGAAAGCATCGGAAATTCGAGTGGTCATATTTCTTCTTCCAGTAATGGCGTCACAAGTTCTTTAGATTTAACAACGCCTCGTTATTTACTTACGAAGGATCATAGTTCTGATAATAAAACAATTTCTAAAGACATTAATGACTTTAAAGAATCAACAACTCCTAAAAGTAATTTAAATTTGAAGAATGCAACTACTACTGATAGCAATACAATTTCTACTAATGTTACTGACTTTGTGAAAGAATCTACAACTCCTGAAAGCTTTGGAAATTCGAGTGATCATATTTCTTCTTCCAGTAATGGCATCACAAGTTCTTTAGATTCAACAACACCTCGTTATTTACTTACGAATGATCATAGTTCTGATAATAAAACAATTTCTAAAGACATTAATGACTTTAAAGAATCAACAACTCCTAAAAGTAATTTAAATTTGAAGAATGCAACTACTACTGATAGCAATACAATTTCTACTAATGTTACTGACTTTGTGAAAGTATCTACAACTCCTGAAAGCTTTGGAAATTCGAGTGATCATATTTCTTCTTCCAGTAATGGCATCACAAGTTCTTTAGATTCAACAACACCTCGTTATTTACTTACGAATGATCATAGTTCTGATAATAAAACAATTTCTAAAGACATTAATGACTTTAAAGAATCAACAACTCCTAAAAGTAATTTAAATTTGAAGAATGCAACTACTACTGATAGCAATACAATTTCTACTAATGTTACTGACTTTGTGAAAGTATCTACAACTCCTGAAAGCTTTGGAAATTCGAGTGATCATATTTCTTCTTTCAGTAATGGCATCACAAGTTCTTTAGATTCAACAACACCTCGTTATTTACTTACGAATGATCATAGTTCTGATAATAAAACAATTTCTAAAGACATTAATGACTTTAAAGAATCAACAACTCCTAAAAGTAATTTAAATTTGAAGAATGCAACTACTACTGATAGCAATACAATTTCTACTAATGTTACTGACTTTGTGAAAGAATCTACAACTCCTGAAAGCTTTGGAAATTCGAGTGATCATATTTCTTCTTCCAGTAATGGCATCACAAGTTCTTTAGATTCAACAACACCTCGTCATTTAATTACGAATGATGATAGTTCTGATAACAAGACAAGTTCTAAAGGCATTGATGACTTTAAAGAATCAACAACTCGTAAAAGTATTTTAAATTTTAATAATGCAACTACACCTCAAAGTGGAACCACCTCTGGTACTTCATATCCTGTGAGACAGAAATTGACTGATTCGGATACCACAGATAAAATGACAACCCTTTCTTCAGAATCTGATGGTTTTAATAACAACGTTCATAATAGCAGAACATCATTACCTATTGACACTGTTAATAAAGAATTATCCACACCAAAATATAGTACTATTTCTAATACTTTGAAATCTCCACATAGAGAATTACAAATTCTGAACGAACAGTGCAACCGTTATGGATTGTATTATTTCTTCAGTGTTAGTATAAAAACAATATAATTTTGGCCCTGAGGGTTAATTTTTAATATGCATTTAAATAATATTTTACTATTCTTTCAGTATCCTGATAATAAATGTGTGTTAGCCTGCACAGCTTCAGAATTCTTGGCATACCATCCCAGTAAACAAAATAATTTCTTTTATCAAACGTTGAGTAGATTTAATATACAAGTCAATAATTACGGACAAATTTCCGTTCAGGATGGACTTAAATGCAGTGATAATGGAGTAAGAAATTAATTTTACTTTCAAGACTTTAAATCTTTTGAAAGGTGTTATTTATAAGTTTGATTTAAATTTTCGTTTTCGGTATTGTTTTAGTACTGTCAAAATGGTCAATGTTTGGAAAAGATTAAGTCTGTTACTCCTTCATTCTTGTCTATGGAAGCTTTTTTTGGTTTATCTAATAACGAATGCAAAAAAATTGGTACATACGGTGCTTATAGTGTTAGTATTTAAATAATTTGTATCTATTTATTTGTACTATTCATCTATTTAGGAAATTGCGTATTTAATATAAATTTTTTGTTAGGTCTCTTCAATTGATTGTGCCTTAAATTGCATGATGATAAATCCCTATTCAGGTTATTTAACAATTAACCAGAAAGTTGCTCCTAATGGATTTCCTTGCAGTAATAATAGAGTTAGTTTGCTTTTTATATTTATTTAAAATATGATGTTTATCTTACACATTTTAACATAACATTTTTTCAGATTTGTCACGAGGGAACGTGCCGGAGAATTTCTAAGGAAGCTATTTATACTATACGAAGATATTAGATTATATAAACAAAAGTTCTAAATAAATTGCTTTTAAAATTATTACTTATCACTTTATATTTACTAAATATTTAATAATTTATCTACTGTAAAATATATTGCGAAATTAAATAAATTTGTCATATCCATATTTAAATAAATCTTAGTTTTTAAATATTTTAATTAATGACAAGTTTAATTGCTTCTAAATCGTATAATACTTCTAACTAAACAATAGATTTCATTTATAAAATTTTTACACACATTTCAAGTACATTATTTCATTTAAAGTTGAAATCATTGTTTAAATTGATAATTATTTATCGACAACCATATCGAAATAATTATCTTAAGAAAAATACCGAACTCCAAACCAAAGAGTTTAATCGACATCTTATAGATGTCACTATTTGATAATATAGTCGAAATCTTTTTTCATAATTTTAGTTTTTATATTTTCCAAGTTAAAAGATGTTTAATAGTGATAAAAAAGTAGGGGTCACACAATTACCGTCGGTAGTGTAATCGTTGCAAAAAATGCAAATATAACATTTATTTCTTAAAATTAAATTAAATGTTTCTGAAACAATACTAAGTAAGGTTTTCTAAATAACTGCTTGTGAATTGGTTTTGTCAGGTAATTAAATATTGCAAAAACAATTTAGGTATTTAGAGTCAAATCTTGTAATCTAGATTTCTAAATTAAATATTATGTGCTAAGACAGAAAAATGTTATAATCACAGTCTATTTAGCCATATAATAAGTGAAATAGGACTTTTTGCTAATAGATTTTAACTGCTAAAAAATTATTAAAAACTTTAAAAAATAAAACCAATCAAAAGCTTATTAAATCTCCCATAAAAACTTAATACTACTTTACTACTTTTGTTCAAATAAAAATTGTTCATCAGATAAAAATTAAATAAAACCTTGAAATTATCAAAAATAATTTATTTAATGTGATGTAAGTTAGTACAGTTTGTTTAACTTCAAAATGTTCCAAAAATATCTAGTATTAAAGTTTACTGAGTATTGCAATATAAAAAACTATTTTATAGTTACACATAATAATAATAATAACAAAAAACTTTAATCAGTTTTAAATTTGACTTTGTAGCTTCCAATATATTTTTATATTTCACTTAATTTGTCAAATTATTTAAATTTTTCAATGTTGAATTTTATTGCGAACTGTTATTTACTTCTTATTTTATGTTTTATTAATTTATTATTTCTAGACAAAGACTTATTATTTTCTGACTCCCTGAAGAGGAAATCATATTTCGAAAAGTTTTATAAAAAATTTTGGTCTTTAAAGATTTATTACATTATAATAAAGGCCGTAGCAGTATAAGCATGTAAAAATGGCCCCCTCTTGGATTGGGTCCATATTTAGGGAATAATTTTGACCTATTATGAGACTTATTTTCACTAAGTTTCAACTCGAAAAAAAATTTTGTTTTTGAGTTATACAATTTTTTTGAAAAATTCAAAAAAATTCAAAAATTTTTTTTCCCTTCGAAATGGTTGAACCGATTTTCATGAAAAATTTTTTTTGTACAATACAATATGAACAGTTAATAAAAAAAAATTTTTCGACCAAATTCTAACAAAGGAAGTCAGTAAAAAGTCAGTAAAAAAAAATTTTTTTTAAATTTATTTTTAAAAAACATTTTTTTTATTGAAATTTTTTTTTCACAACCGCCATTTTTTTTCTATAAAATAATAGTCATTTCAAGAGTAACATATATTTTTTGCAAGATGATTGAAAGGGTACTTCATACTTTAAAAAATAAAAAACCGATTTTTGGCCCCTAAATAGTACAGTTTTCTATATAAACCAGGGGCCAACATTTTTTAAAATTACATTAAAAATTAATTAATACTTAAATTAAATTTCTAAAAAAGTTAATAATATATGTCTGTCTATTGTAAATATTGATTTTTTAGTCAACTTTTCAAAAAAATTTACAAAAAAAAAAATTATTTTTGAAGTTTTTTTAACTTTGGCATATTTTTTCAGAATTGTAGAAAAAATTTGAAATTTACATAGGTTTAAGTTTTATCTTTAACTTAAGACCAAAAGAGTTTAAAAATCTTAATCGGTTCGTGAGATCCCAATATATATAGAAAATATCTACTGCTTCGATTCAAAAATAATATTTGTTTGAATAATTGTGTTTAATTCAAATATATTTTCTGATTTGGTTTAAACAAAGAATATGTTTAAAAATGTTATGTTTGATCCAAACTTAAATGTTGATTAGAAATAATTTAAAATCAACCATAAATTTTGTTTGAATTGAATATATTATTTCTATAAATGAACCAAAAAATATGTTTGAATTAAACTGAAATTTGTTTGACTGTATAGCAAAGATATTTTAAGTTTTATTTAAACAAAATTTTTTTGAATCAAATAAATCGTTTTCTCAGTGATTGACATGTTTTTGGGCCGTGCGCGTGCAGCCGTACCAGTAATTCCCGACGGTATAGTGTACGTCCATTTACTGTTTCAATAAACCTTGTACATACTAAAAAATCAATATTTGCAATAAACAGGCATATATTATTAACTTTTTTAGAAATTTAATTTAAGTATTAATTAATTTTTAATGTAATTTTAAAAAATGTTGGCCCCTGGTTTATATAGAAAACTGTACTATTTAGGGGCCAAAAATCGGTTTTTTATTTTTTAAAGTATGAAGTACCCTTTCAATCATCTTGCAAAAAATATATGTTACTCTTGAAATGACTATTATTTTATAGAAAAAAAATGGCGGTTGTGCAAAAAAAATTTCAATAAAAAAAATGTTTTTTAAAAATAAATTAAAAAAAAAATTTTTTTACTGACTTTTTACTGACTTCCTTTGTTAGAATTTGGTCGAAAAATTTTTTTTTATTAACTGTTTATATTGTATTGTACAAAAAAAATTTTTCATGAAAATCAGTTCAACCATTTCGAAGGGAAAAAAAATTTTTGAATTTTTTTGAATTTTTCAAAAAAATTGTATAACTCAAAAACAAAATTTTTTTTCGAGTTGAAACTTAGTGAAAATAAGTCTCATAATAGGTCAAAATTATTCCCTAAATATGGACCCAATCCAAGAGGGGGCCATTTTTACATGCTTATACTGCTACGGCCTTTGTTTGCAGTATAAAATTAACTGTACAAAAGTCAAATAAGTTTTTAGTTTGACATTAAATTTTATGAAATGGAAATTTTTTTATGTATTAAAATAAGGTGTTGCAAAATCAAGTGAGAAATAATTTTATTTAAATGTATTCATGAGTAAAAATAATATTAGATAAATTTGTTTATTAACCTGACGTCAAATAAGTTGCTGTGTTTATCTCAAATGTTGCAATATCTATAAATGCTTCGTTTTATTTAACTAGACATAGAAATTTGCATTAGAATAGATACAGGACAAACATAAAGAGCATATATATATTCAAACTTTAATATATTTGTGTTCAAATTTGAGAAATTTAGAAAGAAAAATTCTTTCTACTTTACGGTAAGTTTTATATATATATATATATTTTATTTTTATTTATTATGTATGTAATGGATTTATATTATAAATTTCTATAAAATAATATGTAATCGTAAATAATAAAAAAATAAAATATCTTTTTAAACAGATATTAATTATTTATTTATTACACAGGCACTCAAAAAAGTGGTTTGTTTATTGAACCAGACCTACATACCTTATAGTATTTTTAACCGCTGAAAACGAACATGAAGTCAGAATTGTTCCATCAATCTCTTTTTTTTAATTCGAGAAAACTACCCTTAGGAGTACAAATTCAAAGTTTAAAATAAAAAAAATGAAATCACAGATTGTTTTTCAAAACAGAACAATAAATTTATGTACTTCTTTTTCAACCCTTTGATTTTTAAAAATCGAAAAAACCACTCTTAAATGTGCAAATCCAAACATTAAAGTAAAAGAAATGAAATAACAGATTGTTTGTCGAAACAGAACAATAAATTTATATATTTCTCTGTCAACAACTCAAAAAAAATGTCAGAATTAAAACTCCCCTTAACAGGAAAAAAATTAGAAAAAATATTAATTTTTTAAGTGAAGCATACGTTTCTGTATTCTTTTTCGTTTTAAAAACTCAAAGCAGCGTCAGAATTAAAACGTTACCATTTGTTTTAGTTAAAATTTGAAAAAACTACCTAGTGGCGAAATTCAGATGGAAAATAAAAAGGTTTTAATTGTTCTTTTAAAATACTCATTTTTTAAAACTTTTTCTTTAAAGTATGAGTTTATCCATATAAGGGTAGTTTTCTTTAATTTCAATAAAAAGTTTAAGTTGTTGTAAAAGAAGTACATAAATTTATTGTTCAGTTTAAAAAAACAATTTCTTATTTTATTTTTTTATTTTAAAGTTTGGTTTTGCACATTTAAAGATAGTTCTTTATAAAACATAATTTTTATTCTTATTTTCTCAAAGCCTTTTAAACAATTACAGGAACTAAAAATGAAGTACGTCTATATATTGCTGTACGGTCTCTTTGCGCCACTTTCATATTCAATAGAGGTGAATATTTCTGTTATAAATTACATTTAATTAATTGTTTATTGCAACTATAATATAAAACATTTATTTAGAGCCATAAAAACTGGATTCATAATGACATTCAGGAACAGCCACAAACATCTGATTATAAAGTTATTTCGGTTAAACATTTAATTAAAAAAAGAAGTATTAATGAATTATCAATAAAAGTAAAACTTAATGGCACAGACAAGGAATTTGTTTTGCAATGTGCAAGAGGCTATTTTGCTGGTAAAGACACAAGAGTTTGGGAAGCTGAAATAATTGGAGATAACTTTAAGTACACTCTGAAAGAAGGGGTAAGTAAATAACTATATTTCACTGTTTTAAACTTGCCTATAGTAATTAACAATTAATATTCTTTTTGTAGATTATGGAAAAAGTAAATATATCATTCTATCAGGACGAGAAAACAAAGTCTGTAGTATCACATACAGTGAATAAAAGAGGAATTTCTGAATTTGTATGTACTGCTTTTTACTTTTTCGTAGAAAACACTATTTTTTCGTGTATGTAATAATAATTAAATATCAATTTTTCTTTTAGAATGGTATTATTAATTCTAACGTAATAATACATCCAATCAGTCATCTAAAACGTGAACGTCGTGACGCTAAACCATATTCCGAGTATGAGAATAACAATATCAACAATTATCACGTAATTTATAAGCGAGACATTTCTTCTTTCTATAATGATGATGATAATAATGAAGAGTCTAATAAGATAACAGAAGACTTAAATTTAGAAACACCGGACATAGTGTATCCAGAAATTTTGGTATTTGTAGATATAACGCTTTATGAGTAAGTTTCAATTTTGTAATGCAATATTCAAATTTAATTTAATACTTTACTGTAAATCAATAATTGACATCATGATTTTTAGACGTTTTCAAATGGACATTGAGAAAACTGTTGCTTATACTTTAACTCTTTTTAATGGAGCTGATCTAACTTACAGAGTTATGAAAAAACCTTTAGTTCGTTTCAACATTGCTGGAATTGTTTTGTGTCGGGTAATTTGATTTTGTAATACTATTAACCCAAAGATAAATAGCTTATCAATTTTATGTTAAATTAGCATCAAATTGATCGTCAAATTTTCTTTAATTTAATTTCTCAAATTGACAAAAATATATCCCACATCTTGATCATTCTTTGACGCCAATTTGACGATAATATTTGTCAGAAATAAATTAAAGTTTTGAAGATATTTTTTTTAATTCTTTAAACTTCAATATTCAATTTTGTAGGAAAAACAAAATTTAGACATTATAATTTTTAATATACAATAAATCTATAAAAAATTATTTATTTTTACGAAATTTTGATATATAGTATATTTAAGTCAAAATTTCTTGCTTTGACGAATATTATAATACATTGATCATTGATTATAATAATAAAAATTGAAGTCAAACTGATTGACGATTTCTCTTTGGGTAATTATATTAAATAATTAGCTTAATAGTTATTTACAAATAGTGTTAAAGATTTATAACTTCAAAGTGATAAGCATTTGGCTATATAGAATAGCTTGTTGCTGCAAAAAAAGATAATTTTATTACTCTAGTAAATTGTACATTTTTTTACAATTCAAGAATCAAACTGTTCTGAACAAACCGTTTGATATTTTCCCGAATGTATCTACGCTATTCTCAAAGTTTATGTATAATGAACATAAATTCAAAATGGGAAAAGATTACGACATTGCAATTTTAATGGGTTCATATCCAGAATACAAAGGAATACATGAAGGTTTGATATTTTCTGAAATATACTAGTTTGTCTACAAGAAGATTACATGAGAGTTACTAAAAAAATAATTTCTCAGGTTATGCAACAGTAGGAGGGGCATGTTTAAAAAGTAATGATGAAAAAGAAATATACTCCACTGCCATTATGTTGGATGATACACTATTTTCTGGAATAAATATTGCTGCACATGAATTAGGTCATTTGTAAGTATGCGTTAAAAAATTATATATTATTATTAACCATAAATAAAGAAAAGCAGTCATCATAAGTTTTTCAGTTCATGTATAGGCATTATTAACCTTTATTACAATTTTTTATAGGTTTGGATCCCCCCATGATGGTAATTCAGCGAAGCAAAACTCCAATTTACCAGGAGCAGAAGCATGTCCTGAAAATGAAGGTTACTTGATGAGCGAACGGGCTGATGCAAAGAACCGATATCATTTTTCTTCGTGCTCCAAAAAAGTTATGTCTCACTTTTTCAGGTGAGAATAAATTGTCAGAATCTGTTGTTGAACTATTTTAAAAAGGTTTGTCCTAAAATACTGAATTCTTACTTTATTTCAGTCAAGAAACTGCTAAATGTCTTCTAAATAATCCAGCTGAGCATAGAAATGATGAACAAATGTTAAGAATACTGCCTGGTAAATTATTACCAATAGATGAGCAATGTCGAAGACTTGGACATGCCAAGGCAGGAGAAGTAAGCTAAAACATATAGGATTTTTTAATATTTAAGTTTACATAAAGACTTTATAAATACATTTATTAATCATGAAATAAATATTAAGATTCTTTTTGCAATATAACAGTCTAAGTACTTTTTATAATTATATTGTTTTAAATACTTAAATCTTTTTAGATAAATCCTAGCATTTGCTCTGGAATAAAATGTATCGCTCATAACAACACTCTGTATACTAATACGCAATGGGCACTTGAAGGAACTCCTTGTGATTTGAATAAAGTAAAAAATTCATGAACATTTCATATTTATTCAATAACTATTACATATCAGGAAATATGTTTTAATAAATCATTTAATATTTCAGTTTTGCTTAAGAGGTGAATGTGTAGACGTACCTTTTAATGAAACTAAAACGAACTTGGGTCCAAATATATTATTCCCACCATTTTATCATCTGCCTGGAATTAATAAGTCTGCTGAAGAACAATGCAGAGAAGAAGGACATAAAGACTTTACTGAAGTTAGTTTAAATAATTTATTAATAATAATTTATAATACTATCCATCTAGCTTTAAAGTTAATTTTTATAATTGTTGTTACAGGCTTATTTTAAAGGATGTACATGTTATTGCCAAACTACGAACCCATCAGGTGAATATATAAACTATCAAAACAAAGCTCAGGATGGAACATTGTGTAATAATACCGGGGTAAATAAAAATTGTTATTAAATAATAATTTTAGAGAATACTTCAAATTAAAATTAATTTAAAATGCATTGTTACTCTGAACCTATCTAGTCTTTCAAAACAACCAATTAAAAATGTGCTACTTTTAATTTAAATTTCAATGTGGTTCCTTCCAATTTTGCAGTACTGTCGTTACGGAGAATGTGTGATTGAATCCCCTGATTTAACTCCTACTATAGAGGAACTAACTACTACGATCTCTTCTAAAGACATAATTATTCCTTTAAATGAAGTTCCAGTTGATGATTCAATTAACAATCCTGATTACGTAGAAGAGCCTGAAAATGTTACAAGTTTTGATGATTATACAACTACAACTACTACGTCTAATGAAATAATTATTTCTTTAAATAAAGTGCCAATTGATAATACAATTAACAATCCTGATGACGAAGAAGAGCCAGAAAATGTTACGAGTTCTGATGACTATACAACTACAACTACTACGTCTGATGAAATAATTATTCCTTCAAATAAAGTGGAAATTGATGATTCGAATAAGAATACTGACAACGAAGAAGAGCCGGAGATTTTTACGAGTTCTGATGATGACTCTTATTACTCTGAATATTATACTACAAATACTAATGATATAAATATTCTTTTAAATAAAGTGTCAATTGACGATTCAAATAAAACTACTGATAACGGAGAAAAGTCGAAGAACGTCACAAGTTTTGCTGATCATACTTCCACAACTACTACTTCTAATGACATAAATATTCCTTCAAATGAAGTGCAAATTGATGATTTAATTAAAATTACTGATAACGTAAAAATGACGAAAAACTTCACAAGTTTTGCTGATCATACTTCCACAACTACTACTTCTAATGACATAATTATTCCTTTAATTGAAGTGCCAATTGATGATTCGAATAGCAATACTGACGACGAAGGAGAGCCGGAAAGTTTTATGAGTTCTGATGATGACTCTGATTACTCTAAATATGATACTACAAATAGTTATTCTAATGACAAAAATATTCCTTTAAATAAAGGGCCAATTGACGATTTAAATAAAACTACTGATAATAGAGAAAAGCCGAAAAAAGCCACAAGTTTTGCTAATCATACTTCCACAACAACTTCTTCTAATGACATAAATATTCCTTTAATTGAAGTGCCAATTGATGATTCGAATAAGAATACTGCCGACGAAGAAGAGCCGGAGATTTTTACGAGTTCTGATGATGACTCTTATTACTCTGAATATGATACTACAAATACTAATGATATAAATATTCTTTTAAATAAAGTGTCAATTGACGATTCAAATAAAACTACTGATAACGGAGAAAAGTCGAAGAACGTCACAAGTTTTGCTGATCATACTTCCACAACTACTACTTCTAATGACATAATTATTCCTTTAATTGAAGTGCCAATTGATGATTCGAATAGCAATACTGACGACGAAGGAGAGCCGGAAAGTTTTATGAGTTCTGATGATGACTCTGATTACTCTAAATATGATACTACAAATAGTTATTCTAATGACAAAAATATTCCTTTAAATAAAGGGCCAATTGACGATTTAAATAAAACTACTGATAATAGAGAAAAGCCGAAAAAAGCCACAAGTTTTGCTAATCATACTTCCACAACAACTTCTTCTAATGACATAAATATTCCTTTAATTGAAGTGCCAATTGATGATTCGAATAAGAATACTGCCGACGAAGAAGAGCCGGAGATTTTTACGAGTTCTGATGATGACTCTTATTACTCTGAATATGATACTACAAATACTAATGATATAAATATTCTTTTAAATAAAGTGTCAATTGACGATTCAAATAAAACTACTGATAACGGAGAAAAGTCGAAGAACGTCACAAGTTTTGCTGATCATACTTCCACAACTACTACTTCTAATGACATAAATATTCCTTCAAATGAAGTGCAAATTGATGATTTAATTAAAATTACTGATAACGTAAAAATGACGAAAAACTTCACAACTTTGGCTGATCATACTTCCACAACTACTACTTCTAATGACATAATTATTCCTTTAATTGAAGTGCCAATTGATGATTCGAATAACAATACTGACGACGAAGGAGAGCCGGAAATTTTTATGAGTTCTGATGATGACTCTGATTACTCTAAATATGATACTACAAATAGTTATTTTAATGACAAAAATATTCCTTCAAATGAAGTGCCAATTGACGATTCAAATAAAACTACTGAAAATAGACAAAAGCCGAAAAACGCCACAAGCTTTGTTGATCATATTTCCACAACTACTACTTCTAATGACATAATTATTCCTTTAATTGAAGTGCCAATTGATGATTCGAATAACAATACTGACGACGAAGGAGAGCCGGAAATTTTTATGAGTTCTGATGATGACTCTGATTACTCTAAATATGATACTACAAATAGTTATTTTAATGACAAAAATATTCCTTCAAATGAAGTGTCAATTGACGATTCAAATAAAACTACTGAAAATAGACAAAAGCCGAAAAAAGCCACAAGTTTTGCTGATCATACTTCCACAACAACTTCTTCTAATGACATAAATATTCCTTTAATTGAAGTGCGAATTGAT